AGCTCCTCCCCTCTAGGAATATTCAGCTCGCATAAAGAAGGGCATAAAATAATAACACAAATAATTACCAAAGCAACCTGCATATTTTGAGCAATAACATGAGAAATACTTTCTTCTATTCTCTCTTTCTTGGAGAGTAATCAGTCACTAGAAAACACTGATTAAGAGGACAGGTTCTGAAGACAAGCTTCCTGAGTTGGAATCCCAGCTCCACTTCTTACTTGCTGTGTAACCTTCAGAAAGTTATTTCACCTTCCTGTGCCTTGGTCTTTTTTCATCTTAAAAGAAGATGATAATAGTGCCTACCCCATAAGAGTTTTTGTGAGGCTAAAACAAGGTAACATGCAAAGCTCTTGGAACAGCCTGGCACATAATAAGCGACCAATGTATGATAGTTATCAGAACACATCACCCCCAACACCACGTTGGGGCGGGAGAGACATAGGGGGTGGGAGGGACTTAGATGGGAGAAAGAAGTTGTATTTGTGGAGGGTATTGAAAAATCCTGAAGTAGGATCCACAAGTTCCAAGCAGCAGGAGCAACAGAGTCCCTGATAGGGAACTTCCCACCTGACAGGTATGCCACGCATCATAGTAAGTGGAAAAGGCTAGAAAGAGAGGCTGGGCCTCCGTGATAGTGGGTCATAGATGGCTCAATGAAGAGATGGGCCACTGGGAGCTACTAAAGGTTGTTGAGTAAGAGAAGCACAGAATGGATCCTAGAACAGTCAGTGCACTTAATTAAAGAGAGGACCACTCAAAGCTCTTGTGGGAGTTTAGGCAAAGGGTCATGAGGCCTGAACGAGGTAGAGAGAGCAAAAATGAAAAAAAAGCAAGAGACAGAATGAACCTTAGTGATTACCTAGGACGCCATTACCCAAACAGGTCATTTAGAGAGCCAGACTTCACGAAGCGTTCCTGACCCGCCTGAGCAGGGCATTCCGCCATTCTGCATCATATGAAGCATTCTTCATCATTGCCCTCATCACTTTCCTCTCTCATGCCCAGGGCCCCTCCCTAGCTGTGCTCTCAATGAAGGCAAAAGCCCATCTATACCAGGAGATAGTGAAAATATTTAACAACTGGGTGACACAGGCACTAACCATCAGAAGAGTCCCAGAGGCCCTTAGAGTGCCTGCGGTTGCGGGGAGGGGGCGGCGGGGAGGGGGGAGCCTTCTGCAGGAAGGACTGAATGTCCAGAAAGGGAGGTACACAAGGTGCCTAGGGCAGAGATTCTGCCAGCTGGCATGGAAGCATTTCCGTATTTCAACAACTGGCCATAGCAGTGCATACTGAGTGATTGATTATGCACTTGGATGAATGAGCCCCTAATAATGATATTGTCTGCCAGGCACTGTGCTAGTCACTTTGCAGGCCTTATTTATCATCCTTATAAAGTTCTAAACGCACATGTCATTTTCTCCATTTACAGAAGAGGAAACCTAGGACTCTGAAAGGTTAAGTAATTTCCCAAAGTCATATAATTGTAGGCGGAGAGGTGGGATTCAACTCCAAATCTATTTAACTCTAAAGTGTGAGGGTGGGGCTCTGAGGTTCAAACCTTGTTTCACCTCTTACTTGCTGTGTGACTTTTGAAAAGTTATTTCACATCTAGGTGAAATGAGAAAACCATGTCCTAGTTTAATTATTTAACCTTTCTGTGCCTCTGTCACCTATTATGTAAAATGGGAATAAGAAAAAATACCTACAGTGCTTAGTACAGTCTAGCAGCACACAAGCACTTTCTAAGTCTAGTTGTTATTGTTAGAGCAGTGCCTAGCTCAGTACTGAGCACATGGTAGGTACCCCGTCAGTGCTTGTTGAATTTTGAATGCATTTTTCTACTACACCACATAATAGGTGCTCAATAAATGTCTGCTGCCTTGAGCTTGAGCATGATCACTATTATTATCAGGATTCTCTCTAATCCGGAGATAGCAATCCTGAGAACTTATTTCTGCAGGGCCTGGGCTCTTCTGATCAGCAAGCTTCACCTCCATTTCCCAAAAAAGGTGGGAAGATATATAACACATTCTTCTAAGTTTTAGGAAGCAAGTAATTGAATTTGCTGTCATCAATCTTTGGGATTTTCTCAGTTAAAAACAAAACAAAACCACACAACTGGTAGCACTATGAGAAACATGAGGGCTATCAGAAAGACAGAAACCCTGCCCTGGAAGAAGTGGCCAAGCATATGCAGCGGGTCTGTGCTGTCCGTCCTCCCCCCATCTTCTCAGTTTGGCACGAGCAGATTAGCGTGCTGAGTACTGGCCACAGCTGTTCCCACTCGGGCGCTATCTGGCTCTGGCCTGGGAATTCCTCTCATACAGGGTCTGTCTGCCACTGCTGTTGACTTTATTTCTTGTTTGCTTGACTAATGAAGGCTAAGTATTATTATCAGGTGGTTACAGTGCTTATATGCCTTAAACTGAGTCTAGTCTGTATAAGAACAGTGCAGACTCACTATGGGTTTTGCACACAATCTCTCTGTAAGAAGTGACAATGAGTGAGAAGTGGGTGGGTGAAATAAAAATAAGTTAACAGAACAGAGAGAGACTTGACTTTAGGTGATGAGCGCACAATGCAGTGTGCACATGATGTACACTTGATAACCAATATGGTTTTATTAATCAGTGTCACCCCAATAAATTAAATTTTCAAATCCTAAAAATAAATAGATAGATAGATAAATAACCTGCACTGTGCCTGCCTTTCAATGTTAGGACTTTTGACATTTTCTTGGCCAAAGTTGCTGATGTGAGTGAATCATCATTTGTATGACAGCCTGAATTCTTTTTTAAAAATATATTTTTATTGATTTCAGAGAGGAAGGGAGAGGGGGAGAGAGATAGAAACATCAATGATGAGAGAGAATCATTGATCGGCTGCCTCCTGCACACCCTCTACTGGGGATCAAACCCACAACTTGGGCATGTGCCCTGATGGGGAATCCATCCATGGCCTCCTGGTTCTTAGGTTGATGCTTAACCACTGAGCCATGTTGGCCGGGTCTAAATTCTTTAGGTAAAAAGCTCTATAAAAGTACAATATTAGCACTTTATGTAAGTGATACTCCTCTTGCTCTTCTGAGAACAGACAAATCCACTTTTTAATCCAACATTCTCTCACCATTCTGGCATATCTTACAGCCTTTTTTCTCTTGGCTGCTTGACTACTGTAGAATTTCTTTATCTCCAAATAGCATTTGACTAGGGGTGAGCACCAAAGCCTGTTGTCTTTCCTCACCCCCATTTCCTATTACAGCCCCACCCTTTTCTTGTCCTGAATTTCCTTTGGTTGTTTTTATGATCATCCTTGTCATACCTTGCTTTCTGTAATACTCCTAAGGAAAGCAAATCAATAAGTAGAGCACTCAAAACTCATTAAAATGGACCTAGTCCCTTCTCAAGGCACAGAATGAGGAAACACCACCATATAAAACCCATACTGTTCAATACAGTAGCCACCGGGCCAATGTGGCCCATGCAACTGAGGAACTGAATTTTAAATTCCATTGAATTCTAATCTAAAAATTGAAACATGATCAATAAAACCGTTGTCCCGAAAACAAACTTTATCCTGTATAATAAAAGTCTAACATGCAAATCGACCAAACGGCGAACAACTGGTCACTATGATGTGCACTGACCACCAGGAGGAAAACGCTCAACGCAGGAGCTGCCCTCAGCCCACA